GTATGTAGTACAACGCTCACGTCCAGCTGGTGGCGCTAATACTGAGACAGTGACTGTGCGAGGTTCCTGTATGTATACTGAGCAGTAGCTAGCAGCTACTGTAGCTAGCAGGTCTGTATGTATACTGAGACAGCGGGGAACACGTTGTTTTGTATATCAGAGACAATGAGAGCATGTGTGAGACGTGTCTTTCCCCAAAGTGCAGCGGCTCAGTGGGACACGAGTGTGTGCGCGCCACGGACACGGGAGTGCGCTTTCACGCTTTGGAATATAGCGTGAGAGAGCGTGAAAGATGTGGCGTACGACCGGAGCCTGTGTGTTGTATGTTTGGCGATTTAAATAAAGTCTGATTCTTGAACAGTCTTTGAAGTGTTATTGCAACAGCACCAACTGTGAGAGCGAGCATCAGGCCAGAGGGAGACTGTTAGCATTAGGTAGCTTCAAAATGACTGCTCAACACCATAGACCCGCGGTTAGCGCGTTAGCGCTGTAGTTCTGCGCTGAGAAAATAAAAATCGAATTTTTAAAAAAAGAAATCGCCCTAAACGTAAAACTCGAATTAATGATTAAAATGATTAATCGCCCAGGCCTAATGTATACTGAGACAGAGGTCTGTATGTATACTGAGACAGGTCTGTATGTATACTGAGACAGAGGTATGTATGTATACTGAGACAGAGGTCTGTATGTATACTGAGACAGGTCTGTATGTATACTGAGACAGGTCTGTATGTATACTGAGACAGAGGTCTGTGTGTATACTGAGACAGAGGTCTGTATGTATACTGAGACAGGTCTGTATGTATACTGAGACAGGTCTGTATGTATACTGAGACAGAGGTCTGTATGTATACTGAGACAGAGGTCTGTATGTATACTGAGACAGAGGTATGTATGTATACTGAGACAGAGGTCTGTATGTATACTGAGACAGAGGTCTGTATGTATACTGAGACAGAGGTCTGTATGTATACTGAGACAGGTCTGTATGTATACTGAGACAGAGGTCTGTATGTATACTGAGACAGGGTCTGTATGTATACTGAGACAGAGGTCTGTATGTATACTGAGACAGAGGTCTGTATGTATACTGAGACAGAGGTCTGTATGTATACTGAGACAGAGGTCTGTATGTATACTGAGACAGAGGTCTGTATGTATACTGAGACAGAGGTCTGTATGTATACTGAGACAGAGGTCTGTATGTATACTGAGACAGAGGTCTGTATGTATACTGAGACAGGTCTGTATGTATACTGAGACAGGTCTGTATGTATACTGAGACAGAGGTCTGTATGTATACTGAGACAGAGGTCTGTATGTATACTGAGACAGGTCTGTATGTATACTGAGACAGAGGTCTGTATGTATACTGAGACAGGTCTGTATGTATACTGAGACAGAGGTCTGTATGTATACTGAGACAGAGGTCTGTATGTATACTGAGACAGAGGTCTGTATGTATACTGAGACAGGGGTCTGTATGTATACTGAGACAGAGGTCTGTATGTATACTGAGACGAGGTCTGTATGTATACTGAGACAGGGGTCTGTATGTATACTGAGACAGAGGTCTGTATGTATACTGAGACAGAGGTCTGTATGTATACTGAGACAGAGGTCTGTATGTATACTGAGACAGAGGTCTGTATGTATACTGAGACAGGTCTGTATGTATACTGAGACAGAGGTCTGTATGTATACTGAGACAGAGGTCTGTATGTATACTGAGACAGGTCTGTATGTATACTGAGACAGAGGTATGTATGTATACTGAGACAGAGGTATGTATGTATACTGAGACAGAGGTCTGTATGTATACTGAGACAGGGGTCTGTATGTATACTGAGACAGAGGTCTGTATGTATACTGAGACAGGGGTCTGTATGTATACTGAGACAGGGGTCTGTATGTATACTGAGACAGAGGTATGTATGTATACTGAGACAGAGGTCTGTATGTATACTGAGACAGAGGTCTGTATGTATACTGAGACAGAGGTATGTATGTATACTGAGACAGAGGTCTGTATGTATACTGAGACAGAGGTCTGTATGTATACTGAGACAGAGGTCTGTATGTATACTGAGACAGAGGTCTGTATGTATACTGAGACAGAGGTCTGTATGTATACTGAGACAGAGGTCTGTATGTATACTGAGACAGAGGTCTGTATGTATACTGAGACAGAGGTCTGTATGTATACTGAGACAGAGGTATGTATGTATACTGAGACAGAGGTCTGTGTGTATACTGAGACAGAGGTATGTATGTATACTGAGACAGGTCTGTATGTATACTGAGACAGAGGTCTGTGTGTATACTGAGACAGGTCTGTATGTATACTGAGACAGAGGTCTGTATGTATACTGAGACAGAGGTCTGTATGTATACTGAGACAGAGGTCTGTGTGTATACTGAGACAGAGGTCTGTGTGTATACTGAGACAGGTCTGTATGTATACTGAGACAGAGGTCTGTATGTATACTGAGACAGAGGTCTGTGTGTATACTGAGACAGAGGTATGTATGTATACTGAGACAGGTCTGTATGTATACTGAGACAGAGGTATGTATGTATACTGAGACAGAGGTCTGTGTGTATACTGAGACAGGTCTGTATGTATACTGAGACAGAGGTCTGTATGTATACTGAGACAGAGGTCTGTATGTATACTGAGACAGAGGTCTGTGTGTATACTGAGACAGAGGTCTGTATGTATACTGAGACAGAGGTCTGTGTGTATACTGAGACAGAGGTCTGTGTGTATACTGAGACAGGTCTGTATGTATACTGAGACAGAGGTATGTGTGTATACTGAGACAGAGGTCTGTATGTATACTGAGACAGAGGTATGTATGTATACTGAGACAGAGGTATGTATGTATACTGAGACAGAGGTATGTGTGTATACTGAGACAGAGGTATGTATGTATACTGAGACAGGTCTGTATGTATACTGAGACAGAGGTCTGTGTGTATACTGAGACAGAGGTATGTATGTATACTGAGACAGGTCTGTATGTATACTGAGACAGAGGTATGTATGTATACTGAGACAGAGGTCTGTGTGTATACTGAGACAGGTCTGTATGTATACTGAGACAGAGGTCTGTATGTATACTGAGACAGAGGTCTGTATGTATACTGAGACAGAGGTCTGTATGTATACTGAGACAGAGGTCTGTGTGTATACTGAGACAGAGGTATGTATGTATACTGAGACAGGTCTGTATGTATACTGAGACAGAGGTATGTATGTATACTGAGACAGAGGTCTGTGTGTATACTGAGACAGGTCTGTGTGTATACTGAGACAGGTCTGTATGTATACTGAGACAGAGGTCTGTATGTATACTGAGACAGAGGTCTGTATGTATACTGAGACAGAGGTCTGTGTGTATACTGAGACAGAGGTCTGTGTGTATACTGAGACAGGTCTGTATGTATACTGAGACAGAGGTCTGTATGTATACTGAGACAGAGGTCTGTATGTATACTGAGACAGAGGTCTGTGTGTATACTGAGACAGAGGTATGTATGTATACTGAGACAGAGGTCTGTATGTATACTGAGACAGCGGTCTGTATGTATACTGAGACAGAGGTATGTGTGTATACTGAGACAGAGGTATGTGTGTATACTGAGACAGAGGTCTGTATGTATACTGAGACAGAGGTCTGTGTGTATACTGAGACAGAGGTATGTGTGTATACTGAGACAGAGGTCTGTATGTATACTGAGACAGAGGTCTGTGTGTATACTGAGACAGAGGTCTGTATGTATACTGAGACAGAGGTCTGTATGTATACTGAGACAGAGGTCTGTATGTATACTGAGACAGAGGTCTGTATGTATACTGAGACAGAGGTATGTGTGTATACTGAGACAGGTCTGTATGTATACTGAGACAGAGGTATGTGTGTATACTGAGACAGAGGTCTGTATGTATACTGAGACAGAGGTCTGTGTGTATACTGAGACAGGTCTGTATGTATACTGAGACAGAGGTATGTATGTATACTGAGACAGAGGTCTGTGTGTATACTGAGACAGAGGTCTGTATGTATACTGAGACAGAGGTCTGTATGTATACTGAGACAGAGGTCTGTATGTATACTGAGACAGAGGTCTGTATGTATACTGAGACAGGTCTGTATGTATACTGAGACAGAGGTCTGTATGTATACTGAGACAGGTCTGTATGTATACTGAGACAGAGGTCTGTATGTATACTGAGACAGAGGTCTGTATGTATACTGAGACAGAGGTCTGTGTGTATACTGAGACAGAGGTCTGTGTGTATACTGAGACAGAGGTCTGTATGTATACTGAGACAGAGGTATGTGTGTATACTGAGACAGAGGTCTGTATGTATACTGAGACAGAGGTCTGTGTGTATACTGAGACAGAGGTCTGTATGTATACTGAGACAGAGGTCTGTGTGTATACTGAGACAGAGGTATGTGTGTATACTGAGACAGAGGTATGTGTGTATACTGAGACAGAGGTCTGTATGTATACTGAGACAGAGGTCTGTATGTATACTGAGACAGGTCTGTATGTATACTGAGACAGAGGTCTGTGTGTATACTGAGACAGGTCTGTATGTATACTGAGACAGAGGTCTGTATGTATACTGAGACAGAGGTCTGTATGTATACTGAGACAGGTCTGTATGTATACTGAGACAGGTCTGTATGTATACTGAGACAGAGGTCTGTATGTATACTGAGACAGGTCTGTATGTATACTGAGACAGAGGTATGTATGTATACTGAGACAGAGGTCTGTGTGTATACTGAGACAGGGGTCTGTGTGTATACTGAGACAGGGGTCTGTATGTATACTGAGACAGGGGTCTGTGTGTATACTGAGACAGGGGTCTGTATGTATACTGAGACAGAGGTCTGTGTGTATACTGAGACAGGGGTCTGTGTGTATACTGAGACAGGGGTCTGTATGTATACTGAGACGGAGGTGTCTGTGTGTGTGTCCAGCTCCAGTGCAGAATGGGGACTTGGACATCGGCACAGAACAGTCCTGGGACCAGAAGGACGAGGAGGAGACTGAGGAGACGGGGCAGAGGAGCAGGGACCAGAGCCCAGAGCAGGAGGCCTCAGAGGAGGTCTCAGAGGAGGCCTCAGAAGAGGTCTCAGAGGTTGGGGATGAAGAGGAAGAAGTGGTCACGCCTAAACCACAGCCCCTGCCTCAGCCCGACGCCCCCAAGAAGGAGCACATCAACGTGGTGTTCATAGGGCACGTAGGTGAGTTCTCTGGGCCTCACTGTACCCTGGAAGACTGACCCTGACCCTGTTGTGTCCCACAGACGCTGGCAAGTCCACCATCGGAGGACAGATCATGTGAGTACCATGTGGGGCAGGTCTGGAGGCTCAGTACCATGTGGGGCTGGTCTGGAGCCTCAGTACCATGTGTGGCTGGTCTGGAGCCTCAGTACCATGTGTGGCTGGTCTGGAGCCTCAGTACCATGTGTGGCTGGTCTGGAGCCTCAGTACCATGTGGGGCTGGTCTGGAGCCTCAGTACCATGTGGGGCTGGTCTGGAGCCTCAGTACCATGTGGGGCTGGTCTGGAGCCTCAGTACCATGTGGGGCAAGTCTGGAGGCTCAGACTGACTGTCTGTTTGCAGGTACCTCACAGGGATGGTGGAAAAGCGGACACTGGAAAAGTACGAGAGGGAGGCCAAGGAGAAGAATCGGGAGACCTGGTGAGGCCTCCTACATGGACCCACGGTCTCCAACTAAGTCTTTGACCACGGCTTCTTCTTCTGCAGGTACTTGTCCTGGGCCCTGGACACCAACCAGGAAGAGCGAGACAAAGGGAAGACCGTGGAGGTGGGCAGGGCCTACTTCGAGACGGACAAGAAGCACTTCACCATTCTGGACGCACCAGGACACAAGAGCTTTGTTCCCAACATGATCGGGGGAGCATCACAGGCCGACCTGGCAGTTCTGGTGAGACTGTACTACGGACTGTACTGCGGACTGTACTGCGGACTGTACTGCGGACTGTACTGCGGACTGTACTGCGGACTGTACTGCGGACTGTACTGCGGACTGTACTGAGGACTGAACTGCGGACTGAACTGCGGACTGAACTGCGGACTGAACTGCGGACTGAACTGCGGACTGAACTGAGGACTGAACTGAGGACTGAACTGAGGACTGAACTGCGGACTGAACTGCGGACTGAACTGCGGACTGAACTGCGGACTGAACTGCGGACTGAACTGCGGACTGAACTGCGGACTGAACTGCGGACTGAACTGCGGACTGAACTGCGGACTGAACTGCGGACTGAACTGCGGACTGAACTGCGGACTACTACAGACTGTACTACGGACTTGACTAAAGTCTTACTGGTCCTGTAACGAGACTTTACTGGTACCTGTGCTAACTGATGTGGTCCCTGTGCCTGCCTGTGGTACCTGTGCTAACTGATTAGTGGTGCCTGCCTGTGGTACCTGTGCTAACTGATTAGTGGTGCCTGCCTGTGGTACCTGTGCTAACTGATGTGTGCTGCAGGTGATCTCTGCCAGGAAAGGAGAGTTTGAGACGGGCTTTGAGAAGGCAGGGCAGACTCGGGAACACGCCATGTTGGCTAAGACTGCGGGGGTCAAGCACCTCATCGTCCTGGTCAACAAGATGGACGACCCCACGGTCAACTGGAGCCTGGAGAGGTGAGCCTTCATGGTCAGCCTTTCATGGTCAGCCTTTCATGGTGTGGTGCTTCAGTCAGACTTCAGTGGTGCTTCAGTCAGACTTCAGTCAGACTTCAGTGGTGCTTCAGTCAGTCTTCAGTGGTGCTTCAGTCAGTCTTCAGTGGTGCTTCAGTCAGTCTTCAGTGGTGCTTCAGTCAGACTTCAGTGGTGCTTCAGTGGTGCTTCACTCAGACTTCAGTGGTGCTTCAGTCAGTCTTCAGTGGTGCTTCAGTCAGTCTTCAGTGGTGCTTCAGTCAGTCTTCAGTGGTGCTTCAGTCAGTCTTCAGTGGTGCTTCAGTCAGTCTTCAGTGGTGCTTCAGTCAGTCTTCAGTGGTGCGTCAGTGGTGCGTCAGTGGTGCGTCAGTGGTGCGTCAGTGGTGCGTCAGTGGTGCTTCAGTGGTGCTTCAGTCTTCAGTCAGACTTCAGTGGTGCTTCAGTCAGTCTTCAGTGGTGCTTCAGTGGTGCTTCAGTCAGTCTTCAGTGGTGCTTCAGTCAGTCTTCAGTGGTGCTTCAGTCAGTCTTCAGTGGTGCTTCAGTCAGACTTCAGTGGTGCTTCAGTGGTGCTTCAGTCAGACTTCAGTGGTGCTTCAGTGGTGCTTCAGTCAGACTTCAGTGGTGCTTCAGTGGTGCTTCAGCCAGTCTTCAGTGGTGCTTCAGTCAGTCTTCAGTGATGCTTCAGTCAGACTTCAGTGGTGCTTCAGTGGTGCTTCAGTGGTGCTTCAGTCAGACTTCAGTGGTGCTTCAGTCAGACTTCAGTGGTGCTTCAGTGGTGCTTCAGCCAGTCTTCAGTGGTGCTTCAGTCAGACTTCAGTGGTGCTTCAGTGGTGCTTCAGTCAGACTTCAGTGGTGCTTCAGTGGTACTTCAGTTGGCACTAAAGTCTTAAAATAAGTAAGATGTTTGAAACATGTGATGTGCTCCTATCACAGGTACGAGGAGTGCAAAGAGAAGCTCCTCCCCTTCCTGAAGAAGGTGGGCTTCAACCCCAAGAAAGACATCCACTTCATGCCCTGCTCCGGCCTGACAGGCGCCAACCTCAAGGACGCCACGGTCCACTGCCCCTGGTACACGTAAGTCCACTGGTCCACTGCCCCTGGGTGTGGTCATGTGACACCTGATTTAAAGAATATAAAATACCATAAATGTGAGAATGTATTTGTAAGTGTTAGTGATTCTTCCAATTGACTGAGTTGTAGAGGTTCTAGATCCTACGTTCATTTTCAGTTCTCTCTCCTGTTCCAGAGGCCTTCCTTTCATTCCACACTTGGACAATTTGCCAAACTTACACCGACCCAGAGACGGCCCGGTCCGACTGCCCATTGTGGACAAGTACAAGGTGCGTTCCTCAACATCCCATAATGTCTCCGTCTGCCCCAGTGCCACAGATGCACCAGGTGTTCTCCCATCCCATAAGAACCCTACTTTGCTCTGCAAAGATGGGATTAGTGAGGCTTTTGTGCAATAGTATGTGATTCAAAGCTTCAACAGTGACACCTGTGGACACTTGTAAGTATTGCAGCTTCTTCACAAATGGACTTCAACTATGACAAATTCCTGAAAGGTTTCCTAAGGTTCCTAAGCTCCTGGTTCATTTACCTGTCATGAAGTGTTCTTGTTCATAAGGGGAAAATATTCACTGATCGCTTCCTTCATAAGATAACATTATGGATCTCACAATGGAGAAATTTCATTTAGCCTTTAGTGTGACCACTATGTGCGCTCGTCTCTCTGACACAGTTTTAGCTCGATAGATTTTTAGTGGCATGTTTGTGTGACTTTGTGTCAGTAATCAAGTAATCTTTATGCTTTTATATACCGCCTTTCACAGACCAGAGTCACAAAGCGGTTTACAATCGTGGGCATTAGTCTCTCAGTCCACACAGAGGTGGGAGTGAGGTCACCAGTACAGTAGGCACATGCCAGACATGTTTTTAGAGGTAGGGGAAACCAGAGCACCTGGAGGAAACCTACGCAGACACGGGGAGAACATGCAAACTCGACTCAGAAAGGCCATGTTCCGAACAGGATGTCCGCCCACCCTGTGTGTGTGTGTGTGTCTGTGTGTAACGTGTGTATGTGCTCCGCAGGACATGGGCACAGTGGTGCTGGGGAAGCTGGAGTCTGGATCCATCCTTAAAGCGCAACAGCTGGTCATGATGCCCAACAGGGTGAGTGTCCTCCAACCACAGCACCACATCATCTCTATAGCAACAACCACAGCACTATAGAAACAACCACATCATCTCTATAGCAACAACCACATCATCTCTATAGCAACAACCACATCATCTCTATTTTTTTTTTTTTACATTTATTTTTTATTGAAGAGACAGATAATTACAGATTTTCTTTCAAATAGTAGTGCGATTTTGCTCTTCCATTTTTACACATGAAACACGCACAAACGAAACAATAGAGAAACAATAGAGAGGTGGGGTACCCTTTCGATTTACATAGCAAAATAGACAATTGCAATCAGTAGTATTTATATTTCAACATTACATGAAATCAGATCTTATCGGCTTAACATATTGTGTCCATTTTGACCAAATCCTGTAAAATGAGTCAATTTGCAATTTCAACTGAGATGAAATTTTTTCCATGATGTAGATGTCATGCACAATATTGGTCCAATCCTCGTTTGTTGGTTTTCCAGGTTTGAGCCATCTTCTGGTGATGGCCTTTTTACTTGCTGCTAAGAGAATGTAAAGTAGTTTCTTGTCTCCATTGTTGAGACCATCCAGTTCTATGTCACCAAGATAAATTGCTTCAAATGATAGGGGAAAAGCAATTGAAAATACATTTTGTATATGTTGATGAATCTCTACCCAATAGTCTTGAATAACTTGGCAGCTTTTGCCTCAGTGTGTCAAATGTTTGTAGAGCCCCCTTGTGGACAAATGAATTGTAGTTGGTTAATCCTTTCCTAATCCATGTTTTAAATCTGTTATCATAGTTATTAGGAGTAAATTCTGAGTCATATGCACACCATCGCAGAATTTTAGATTCCTCCTGTAAACCACATAACTTGATTATTTCATTCCAGGCCGTAATTGTTGTGAATGATATGTGTTCAGTTGAAAGGTTGATTTTGGATTGTAATTTAGAGTCTGCTATTAGAGCTTTAAAGGCACACCGCGGACTTTGTGACCTAAAGAGTTGACACATATGAGTTATTTTATATGAATACTTGGGCCAATATACAGCGCTTGACACTTGCAATGCTCCGAGCGGGGCTGCCCTCTTGAAATACCGCCCATGTAACTTTAGAGCAGACGGACCGTCTGCCACCAGGTCACGTGACTTGGAAGAAAGATATGCTTTACGGCTACAGGCGCTGATATACTCATGGAGCTAAGGCTTTTGCTACTCATTTTTCACCTACTCGACTCCTGGTCATGGCTGAGGCAAGGAAAAAGTTTAAACCTTCGGAGGAGGCTAAAAAGAGGAAACGCGAAAGGGATCGTGCTGTAAGCTGCATGTCTGTATGAGCGCTGCTCTTCACCTGGTTCCTGGCTGTCATCGACTGCAAAGATGTCATTCCACGCAGCACGAGCTAGACGCAGAACTCCCTCGTCCAGGATATAGAAGTCCATGTGTGGTAGATTACTAATGCAGCGGTCTGGAGGCTGACCACAGCAGAGTCTCTCAATATCTGTAGGCATGTCTCTACAGTTTGAACACACACACCAGTGCATGCTGTCTGAATACACACTCAAAAGACACCGGCTGACTGTTTGTTGACTTTTGCGACAGTGCTGAGTTGCTTGTGGCCACTAGGGGCGCTAAACGTGAAAGTTGCAGGTCTAGCGCCCCTAGTGGCCAAGAGTTACACGGTGTGCCTTTAAGAGGTATCCCTTTGATCATAGTCCCCTCTATGTCCTTCCATCCTGCTGTGTAGATCGGAGAGCACATACAAACCAGGGGCCTCAACTGGGCAGCATAATAATATTCTCTTAAACATGGGAGGCCCATACCCCCTTTTTCTTTCTTAATTTGTAAAGTTTTTCAACTTAATTCTTTTTACCCTTCCATATAAACTTCGATAGAATTTGGTCCCATTCTGTAAATTGTTTTTGGGGTATGGTAAACGGCAGACATTGAAACAAGTATAAGATTCGAGGAAGGATATTCATCTTAATAGTGTCAATCCGAGAATATAAATCGAAGAATGGTATGGTATTCCACCTTTCAATGTCAGATTTTATCTTTGTGTTTAGGGGTCCATAGTTAACATCATACATTTTGGTGAAATCCCTATGTAGGAAAATTCCAAGATATTTAATCGATTCTGTGTCCCATTTCCATTTATAGTGGTCTCTAATGTTTTGGGGAGGATTATAATTTAGGGTCAATACTTGAGTTTTGTTTACATTAATTTTGTATCCTGAAAAGATACCAAAGTCCTCAAATATCTTTATAGCTTTTGGTAACGTCAGGGTAGGATTAGATATGATCAGCAATAGATCATCAGCAAATAGGGCCAATTTCTGATCTTTTCCTGCGACAGTTACCCCGACAATATCTTGTCTCTGCCTGATCCACTGTCCAAGCGGTTCAATGTACAAAGCAAAGAAAAGTGCAGACAAATTACATCCCTGTCTCACCCCTCTTTCCAATGCAATTGACTCAGTAAGGTCTCCATTGATCTTAATTCTAGCCACTGGTTTGTTATATAACCCTGCAATAATTTCTGTAATAGATTTATGAAAGCCGAACTTACTGAAAACCTTAAATAAGAAGGACCACCTCACTGAGTCAAACGCCTTTTCTGCGTCCAGACTCATCACCAAGGTTTCTTGTTTTTTCTGTACAACATTATGCAGCACATGTAGCACTCTCCTTATGCTGTCCTGTGTCTGTCTTTGTTTAATGAATCCGGTCTGATCCTTGTGTATTAAGTGTGGCAATATTACTTCCAATCTCCTTGATATGATAGATGCAAACAGTTTGTAATCGATATTTAGGACACTAATCGGGCGATAGTTACTACATTCAAGTCTGTCTTTCCCTTCCTTTGGGATGATGGAGATTATTGACTCGTTCCATGAGGGAGGAATTGTTTTCTCTTGCATCACCCAGTTAAATGTCTTCAATAAGTTTGGGGTCAGGCAACTCTCCATTGTTTTGTACCATTCAGGGCCAAATCCATCTGCTTCTGCCATCTTTCCTTTTTTCAGTTTTTTAATTGCCAGCTGGATTTCCTCTTTGGTTATTGGGGAAAGGAGTCTGTTATTTTGCTCATCTGTCAGTGTTGGTAAATTCAATTGTGAGAGAAAAGCATCTACATCTTGATCATTATCTGCGTGGATTTGAGAGTAAAGCTTTAAATAGTACTTTTGAAAGCACCATTTGATTTGGTTTTGTTCGTTTTCAATTTTATTGTTAAAGGGATTCTTAATTTTATGAATGGTTCTCTCAGCTTGTTGTTTCCTGAGTTTATAGGAGAGAAGTTTTAGGGATCTCCCGCCTGCTTCATAGTACTGTTGTTTAGTGAAAATTAGTTTTTTTTGTATATTCAGTGTATTGATGTCGTCTATTTCTTTTTTTAATTGTTTTATTTCAGATTTGGTCTCAGTTGTCATATGTTTAGAGTGTTCTTGTTGAAGTTTCAGTAGTTTATGTTCTAAGTTGACAATTTTGTTAATAGTTGCTTTTTTTTGATGGGAAGAGATACTTATTATTTTCCCCCTAATTACTGCCTTAAAGGCATCCCAAAGTATTCCAGGATCAACCTCCTCATTATCATTATGTTCAAAATATTCCCCTATAGCAACTGTCAAGCTTTCTTTAATATTTGAATAGTTCAGAATGCTTGTGTTTAACCTCCAAAGAGTAGATCTTTTGTTTTTTGCGAGGAAAACATGTACATAAACAGGGCTATGGTCAGAAACTGTGCAAGGCCCAATTTCACAGTTTTGTATCCTAAACAAGTCACATTTGAACATGAAAACATAATCCAAACGTGAATAAACGTTATGGGCATGGGAATAGTGGGTATATTCCCTTTTAGTTGGATTGATGTCTCTCCATACATCGAAAACACCTGTATCTTCCATAAATTGTGTAATTTTTTTCCCTGTATTTTTTGAGCCACCTTTCCCATTTGAAGCATCTAATTTTGCGTTTAATGTAATATTGAAATCTCCACCACATATTAAGATTCCTCGACTTTCGGTTGTCATTAATTCTAATATACGTCTATAAAAGGACCAGTCGCTGCCAGGAGGTGCATACACGTTTAGCAAGGTTGTGAGAGTACCGTCTATCTTACCCGTTATCATTACATATCTGCCTTCTTTGTCTTTATGCTCTGATACATGCTCATAGTTTAGTGCGCCGGAAATCAAAGTTGCCACTCCTCTCCGCCGTCCTGAACTGTGAGAAGAATAAAATACATGTTTAAATCCCAATTTGTTCAATTTTAAATGCTCTTCATCTGAGAGATGTGTTTCCTGCATCAAAGCAATTTGTGCTTTATCCCGTTTCAACTTGGATAGGGCTTTCCACCTTTTAATTGGATTATGCAAGCCATTGATATTAATTGTTACAAGTTTTACATATTTGTCATTCATTTATATTGTACTTATATCTACTTCATACACATTAATTGGTACCCCACTCTCAATAGTGAACACTGAACACACAACAAAAGAAAAAGTCAAAAGAGAAAAACAACTGCAAATGAACATGAACTTCCAAGGCTGGGGTCCTTTAAACAGACCCTGTGGTGCCTTCAAAGGCTGCTTCCACATCGGCAACGATGTGGGCCCTTATTGGCTGTGGCTTTGCTGTCGAGAATAATCCCTCAGAACCATATTAACTTTAAAAATTAACACCCAAAGACATATTTATAGTATTCAGTCAGTGTAAGTGGATTTAGATATGTGAAAGTGTCTTGGTAAGAGTCAAAGTGAAACCTCAAGTCCCTGAAGTGGTGGCTACCGTTCTCCTGAAGGTACGGAGCTTTTTCTTATAGCCTGGTTCTTGTCCCGGTTGCGCTGCACTGCTACCTCCTCCTCTGGTCACTCTGGTCCAGGTCAACTGCTTCAGTTGCTCCAGGATTGTTTCGGGAGGTTTGATGATCTTGACAGCGTAGCCTCTCCGGGACATATCCTCAGTCGCTTCTGATGAAGAGGCGTAGGTTATTTCTCCATCCGTGAACTTTGAAATGGTATCTGCTTTGCCTTCAAAATCTTGCGTACTTCTGCGTATTCCTTTCGTTTCTTAAGGATGAGAGGGGGGTAATCGTTGTCCAGTGATATGTGTTTACCATTCCAAGTAAATCCTTTCTTCTGCCATGATTTGCGGAGTATTTGTTCTTTGATCTTAAAGCTTAGAAACTTAACCACGATAGAGCGTGGCGGAGCATCTTGGGGAGAAGCGGGGCCTAGCGAGCGGTGGGCTCGTTCAATGCTAATGTCCACGCCGTCCAATTCCAAGCCTTCACGCAGTAGTGTCTCAACAAAAGCAATCATTGATGGAGAGTCTTTCTCTGACGATTCTGGAACACCATAAATTCTGACGTTTTCTCTCCTTGACCGGCTCTCCATATCCACCATCTTCTCCTCCAGCTTTATGTTTAGCTGCACTAGCTCGGTCATAGCTTCCTCCACGTTGAGAATTCTCTCCTCTGCTTTCTCAATCCGCTCCTCAGCTTCTTCCAGCCTGTTATTCGCTCTAGTCAGCTCTTCCTTGATGCCCTCAAGTTGTTCTTTGATTTCTAGTCGAAAGGCTCTCAGTTCTTGTAGAATAACTTCGTTATTTGCCATGATTCGCCGTTTAGCTCCAGGTGTTGCTGTTAGCTTTTCGTTTAGCAGCAAATGCTAGCGCAAGGTTTCCACTTGAGAAAAGCTTTCGGTTCACCTACTCTTTGTCCAATCCAATGTGGAAACTGGTGTGTACTTCTCTCCCCCGCTTCTTAGTTTGCATTTCGTAGATTATTTACATAGTTTAAGCGGGTTCAGATCACAAAATGCTCTGGTCCTTTCGGGAGCTCACTCACAGCACAGCCATTAACGGTGGTGGTCCGGCCGGAACTCCAAACCACATCATCACATCAGCACAACCACATCATCTCTATAGCAACAACCACGGCACCACATCAGCACTATAGCAACAACCACATCATCACTATAGCAACAACCACATCATCACTATAGCGACAACCACATCATCACTATAGCGACAACCACATCATCACTATAGAAACAACCACAGCACTATAGCAACAACCACATCATCACTATAGCGACAACCACATCATCACTATAGCGACAACCACATCATCACTATAGAAACAACCACAGCACTATAGCAACAACCACATCATCACTATAGCGACAACCACATTATCACTATAGCAACAACCACCGCACTACAGTACCATGCGAAAGTATTCGGCCCCCTTCAACCTTTCAACATTTCGCCACATTTCAGGCTTCAAACATAAAGATATACAATTTTAATTTTTTGTCATGAATCAACAACAAGTGGGACACAATCGTGAAGTGGAACGACATTTATTGGATAATTTAAACTTTTTTAACAAATAAAAAACTGAAAAGTGGGGTGTGCAATATTATTGGGCCCCTTTACTTTCAGTGCAGCAAACTCAGTCCAGAAGTTCAGTGAGGATCTTTGAATGATCCAATGTTGTCCTAAATGACTGATGATGATAAATAGAATGTACCTGTGTGTAATCAAGTCTCCGTATAAATGCACCTGCTCTTTGATAGTCTCAGGGTTCTGTTTAAAGCACAGAGAGAACCATGAAGACAAAGGAACACACCAGGCAGGTCCGAGATACTGTTGTGGAGAAGTTTAAAGCCGGATTTGGATACAAAAAGATTTCCCAAGCTTTAAACATCTCAAGGAGCACTGTGCAAACAATTATATTGAAATGGAAGGAGTATCAGACCACTGCAGATCTACCAAGACCCGGCCATCCCTCCAAACTTTCATCTCAAACAAGGAGAAGACTGATCAGAGATGCAGCCAAGAGGCCCATGATCACTCTGGATGAACTGCAGATAACTACAGCTGAGGTGGGAGAGTCTGTCCATAGGACAACAATCAGTCGTGCACTGCACAAATCTGGCCTTTATGGAAGAGTGGCAAGAAGAAAGCCATTTCTCAAAGATATCCATAAAAAGTCTTGTTTAAAGTTTGCCACAAGCCACCTGGGAGACACACCAAACATGTGGAAGAAGGTGCTCTGGTCAGATGAAACCAAAATGGAACTTTTTGGCCACAATGCAAAACGATATGTTTGGCGTAAAAGCAACACAGCTCATCACCCTGAACACACCATCCCCACTGTCAAACATGGTGGTGGCAGCATCATGCTTTGGGCCTGCTTTTCTTCAGCAGGGACAGGGAAGATGGCTAAAATTGATGGGAAGATAGATGGAGCCAAATACAGGACCATTCTGGAAGAAAACCTGTTGGAGTCTGCTAAAGACCTGAGACTGGGACAGAGATTTATCTTCCAACAGGACAATGATCCAAAACATAAAGCCAAATCTACAATGGAATGGTTCACAAATAGACGTATCCAGGTGTTAGAATGGCCAAGTCAAAGTCCAGACCTGAATCCAATCGAGAATCTGTGGAAAGAGCTGAAGACTGCTGTTCACAAACGCTCTCCATCCAACCTCACTGAGGTCCAGCTGTTTTGCAAGGAAGAATGGTCAAGAATTCCAGTCTCTCGATGTGCAAAACTGATAGAGACATATCCCAAGCGACTTGCAGCTGTAATTGCAGCAGAAGGTGGCGCTACAAAGTATTAGCGCAAGGGGCCGAATAATATTGCACGCCCCACTTTTCAGTTTTTATTGGTTAAAAAAGTTTAAATTATCCAATAAATGTCGTTCCACTTCACGATTGTGTCCCACTTGTTGTTGATTCATGACAAGCAATTGAAATGCTATATCTTTATGTTTGAAGACTGAAATGTGGCGAAATGTTGAAAAGTTCAAGGGAGCCGAATACTTTCGCAAGGCACTGTACATCATCTCTATAGCAACGACCACATCATCTCTATAGCAACGACCACATCATCTCTATAGCAACAACCACAACACTACATCATCTCAGATTCAGTTTATTTGCCATTTGCAGTAAAACCACATTGGAATACATTAGCAAAAGTCTCCAGTGTGCACAGACAAATACAGACATAAAACAACATCCATCCATCCATGTTCTACCCTTTAATCCATTTCTGGGTCAGGGGGGTGGCAGTCAGAGATGCCACCCAAGTCTCATAGCACCAGCCCCTCACTGACCCTCTGCAGGTGGTGAGTCCACAGGAGGACGGCTGCTCTCTGACTGTGAGCATAGCCTTGATCTTTCAGTGGGGGCTTTGGGCAAAGTGGGGTTAAGTGTCTTGCCCAAGGACACAACGACAGCAGTCATCAGTGGGAGTTGGTGGAGAAGGTGTAGAGGTGGGAATTGAACCCACGACCTTCTGGCCTTAAGGCCAATGCTCTACCAACTAAGCTACTGTCGCCAAAACAAAACATTAAAACAACATTAAAAGACAAAAATAAAACAAATAAAACAGTAAACAAATGTCACTGTGAAATGGATCGACTAAAACAGTTTCAAAACAAGTGCAAATCATTAAAGTGCTCTGTTCACACTGATAACAACCTGTGGATAAAAACTGTTAGCGTAACGAGATGTCCTGCATCTCAGAGAGCGATATCTTCTGCCAGAGGGAAGAAGCTGGAACATGGCTTTCCCAGGGTGGCCAGAAGAGTCATTAACAATCCTAAGAGCTTTGTTTAAAAGTCTGGATTTATACAGGAACAACCACATCACTACAGCACCGCGTACAGTAACTCTGGGTTCCACATGCCTCGGTGCACACAAACCTTGGCCAGCAGCCTGTCATATCTCAGATGTGATCCTTGAGCAGAATATAGACCAGAGTGGTGCTCAATACGTCGATCACGATCTACCAGTCGCAAAGGTAGTATTGGAATATCGCATTACATTGAAAAAAAAAATCCGTTTTATGCATTTGCGTATAGACAGAGATAACCGGAGTTTTGCGTTTTAGCACGCCACAGTATGTCCCCAAAACAACAACAAACAAAACGTGCGACCTGTGATCACTGAAGAAGGATCTTACTGCCTTAAAAACTGTCCGCTGCTGAGAGCGGTCCGCAGCAGCGGACATCCTCCACATCAGAGAGCAGCAAAGTGATCAGGCAGGCTAGAAAACAACTAAACCAGGACTAAACCAGGACTAAACCAGGACTAAACCAGGACTAAACCAGGTCTAAACCAGGGCTGAGGACGGGGGTCAGTGCTTGTGAACATATGTCTTCACCCTGAATTTCTTCTATGACTGTAAGTGCCGCTACAGAAGCACCGGCGTCAGCATCAAAGCTCCGCCCACTTCTGTGTTTTTCCCCAACGCAGGACGTCAGAGACGCACATGTTTGAATGTTATGAATGTCATTGAAAACGCAGATTTTCGGTTATCTGTGGATGCACATTATTTTATAAATCACGCGGTTTTGCATGTACATCAACATACATTGTGATATAAAGAATCCTCAATATATTTAGAAATATATGTTTTGCATTTTTGTTGTAGGTAGATCATTTTGACCTGGTCATTTTATAAGTAGCTCGCATGCTGAAAGTGTGAGCACCCCTGGTATAGACAGTTCTGGACAGTGGTCTCTGCTCCTTATGGACCTATGGCTCTGTGTATTTGTTCTGTGTTCGTATTGTCCCTAGAGATAACGGCTGTTGTGATTTACGGCGACATTTAAGGGCATTGAATTGAAGTCTGTGTGTCCCATAGCACACGGTGGAGGTCCTGGGCCTGCTCTCTGACGATGTGGAGACCGAGGAGGTGGGACCAGGGGAGAACCTGAAGATCCGTCTTAAAGGCATCGAGGAAGAGGAGATCCTGCCCGGCTTCATCCTCTGCAGCCCAGACAACCTCTGCCACTCAGGGAAGGTGTTTGACGCTCAGGTGAGACCCCTGTCTCCTGTGTCTCCACTCTGTGTCCTCTGTCTCCTGTGTCTCCACTCTGTGTCCTCTGTCTCCTGTGTCTCCACTCTGTGTCCTCTGTCTCCTGTGTCTCCACTCTGTGTCCTCTGTCTCCTGTGTCTCCACTCTGTGTCCTCTGTCTCCTGTGTCTCCACTCTGTGTCCTCTGTCTCCTGTGTCTCCACTCTGTGTCCTCTGTCTCCTGTGTCTCCACTCTGTGTCCTCTGTCTCCTGTGTCTCCACTCTGTGTCCTCTGTCTCCTGTGTCTCCACTCTGTGTCCTCTGTCTCCTGTGTCTCCACTCTGTGTCCTCTGTCTCCTGTGTCTCCACTCTGTGTCCTCTGTCTCCTGTGTCTCCACTCTGTGTCCTCTGTCTCCTGTGTCTCCACTCTGTGTCCTCTGTCTCCTGTGTCTCCACTTTGTCCTCTCTCTGTCCTCTGTCTCCTGTGTCTCCACTCTGTGTCTCCACTTTGTCCTCTCTCTGTCCTCTCTGAGTTTTTCAGAATTATTTAACATTTTCTTGACAAAAATAATGTTAAATTGCACAACAAAGCGATTGCAGTAAACCCGGAAGTAACTATAATCATACTTGAACATTATGGGACACATCTGCAGATGATATGATTATGGATATAGGTTCATATGGATATAGGTTCATATATAAATGATTATGGATATAGGTTCATATATAAATGATTATAGATATAGGTTCATATATAAATGATTATGGATATAGGTTCATATATAAATGATTATGGATATAGGTTCAGTATATAAATGATTATGGATATAGGTTCATATATAAATGATTATGGATATAGGTTCAGTATATAAATGATTATGGATATAGGTTCATATATAAATGATTATGGATATAGGTTCAGTATATAAATGATTATGGATATAGGTTCATATATAAATGATTATGGATATAGGTTCATATATAAATGATTATAGATACAGGTTCATATATAAATGATTATGGATATAGGTTCATATATAAATGATTATGGATATAGGTTCATATATAAATGATTATGGATATAGGTTCATATATAAATGATTATGGATATAGGTTCAGTATATAAATGATTATGGATATAAGTTCATATATAAATGATTATGGATATAGGTTCAGTATATAAATGATTATGGATATAGGTTCAGTATATAAATGATTATGGATATAGGTTCATATATAAATGATTATGGATATAGGTTCATATATAAATGATTATGGATATAGGTTCATATATAAATGATTATGGATATAGGTTCAGTATATAAATGATTATGGATATAGGTTCAGTATATAAATGATTATGGATATAGGTTCATATATAAATGATTATGGATATAGGTTCATATATAAATCAGTGTTTCCCACAGGTTTGAAGGCAATGTGTGGTGGTCGGCCGGCAAAAATTAACAATGACATCGTTAATTGGTCAAAATACAGCTTTATTGGACTGATCAAAATATCAAACATTATTCACACGCTGTATATTACACTATAAATACTGTTAACGCTGTATAAACCTACTTGTTGCAAAAAATAACATTATTCACACGCTGTATAAACACTATATTACACTATAAATACTGTTAACGCTGTATAAACCTACTTGTTGCAAAGTTTGCATGTTTTATCAGAGCACCTGATTTTTTGGGGCTGGCGAAAAAAAGATTTTAATGCCATATCATAAGGGAAGTCCTCAGGACAGGGTCCATTGATGGAGATCCTCAAGCAAGCTGCCAGGTGTTCTCCTTGCAGTTTGTTCCTGAGGTCTGTTTTCACCTGGAGATAAAGCAAAATGATAAATTATTATCAATGCAAAATGCACCAATATAAAGACAATGGGAATTTTTTATTGCTATTACCCTGTTCATTGCAGAGAAATCCCGTTCACAGTTCACAGAGGAAACAGGGATAACCAAAGCAATGCTTGCCAGAAGGCACATCCCTTTAAAAGACATCATAATTAATGAAATTAGCTAAATAGTCAGACATTCCACAGTCACACTGTTAAAAAAATCATAAATGGAAAAGAATAATAAATAAGAAAAAGTTTTAATATATGTAAAGGATAGCATATTATGCAGACATTAAGCTTACCATGCGGTGTGTTGTATGACCATGACTTGAACTGAGGCATGTTCAACCACTCCCTGTTGAATCCCGTGGCCCTGTGTCTGGTGCTTTTGGATGTTGCCAAAGTACTATCTAAACAGAACAATAGAAACGAGTTCCCTTGAACTGATACCTGCTTTCTTACCTGCCTGTTTCTGTATCCGTTTGTCCACCTCACCTGTTGCTTCAGCTGACTCTGTCACAGCAGCATGTTGGATGCCGTCCTCCTCTACTCTTTCTTCAATCAATTCTATCTCGTTCTCTCCCTGACCCTGTCTTTCTGCTTGAGCAGCACTGGTTGAAGCCTGAAAATATTGTAAACAACTTACTGTATATAGCTAATTACACTGCGGACTGTTTCAGACCGATACCTCTGGTTCAGGCTGATCCTCATCCTCAACGCGTGTCTTTTTCAATCGCGGAAAATATTGTTCAATACTCATCTGGATTGAAGCAGCAAACATTCAGTGTAAGAGTAAAAAAATGACATAACGTTACTTATAACTTTATTTCTTGCTACAGCTGCTACATAGTGTTTTGACCCCGACAACCCAACTACATACCGCAAACTTGCGACTAATTAACTTTATAAAGAAAGCGTCATCGCTTGTTAAGGGAGTCGGGACGGAAATTCAACATTGACACTGAACATTCAGCACTTTTTAATGTGTGATTTACGAGATCACGGGATACCAACCTTTAGTGAACTTCACCAGCCGTCTTCTCTGCACCAAAATTAATAGACACAGCTGCTTACAGCGATGATCGCTGATGGAGACGGAGACACGCGGTGTGCACGAAGGGGAGGGGCTGTGTGTGTGTAGGTCTCTGTATGTGGGAGAGACGCGTAGCTTGAGTGAGAGTTACGAAGGGCCGCCACATTTTAAACCCCCCTCCCCGCTGTCAAATTGACCGCTGCGGTGGCACTAGACGATGCATGTTTTAAATAGCGTAACAAAAAAAATATATATATAATAATACGAAACGCAATTTGTGGCGGGCGGTCTCTAATCTGTGGCGGTGTTTTGGACACCCCTGCAATAGCCGTCGCTTGAGGAAGTGACGTCACGATGCCTACATATCCACCCTACGCGGCCCGATGCCTACCGTTTTGGACACAGTGTGGGAAACACTGGGTGCTATGAGCACTGATTAGCAGCTCTGATTGCCACCCCACCCCCGACCCAGAAATGGACTAATAAAGGGGATGTTAATGAATGAATGAATGAATGTTAACTAATACAATTTTGGTGTTTGTGTGTGTGTGTTTGTGTGTTGTGTGTCCTCCTGTCACTGGAATGCTTCGCTGTGAAATCAGAAGTAAAGTGTGTCTATAGCTTGTTTTTCAGCTGTGCAGGCAATGGTCCGGCTCATGACAGAGTGTGTGCGCATGACGAGAGGAACATGGTGGATGGAGTTTACTGTCACCCCATTGGTCATTGGATAGAAACGACAGGCCACACGGATGAGATGAAGCACACCACCAACTTTTACTTCAAGAAGCTATAGAGATATCTCACGTGACGTCACGATGCCTCAAACTCAATTTTTTTTTTGCCGTTTTTGGCTGCAGCAAAAGGAGAGACAGAGAAAATAAGTTCCGACTGCCAGCCGTCCTTACTTCACACGGCTCCAAAACAGAAGAAATCTCAAAGAAACGAGAGAGAAATGGCACAACCATACGCAACGACAAAAAACTAATAGCCCCCAGAGCGCCCGAATATGCTCGGATCATTTCATTTCTGCTAGGTAAAATCAATTTGATGGCGGATTTAGTGTTATTCCGAAACAAACAGAAGTTTAAGGATAAAACATATCTGTCTGACTGCAACATGGGGTTGCTCCATAGACTGTAGCTTAGCTTGTAGCATAGCTGTTATATATTTGGTCTCACACAGGACCTCACCCGGTTCACAGGGTATCTGACTTACCAAAGGCCAGCAGACATGTGAACGACTGAGCCGTGCTCGAGGGTGCCCCGTACTAGTATTTATTAATAAAATATACGGCTCCTCACAGTAGACGCAGAAAGCTCCATTGATTTGAATGTAATCTCATTATTTCCACTGCGGTGTAGCCACACATAGATCCATGGTGTAACAATAAACACATTAAATGTTAATCGGAGAATACATTATACATATACATTCTTAATACACGTGCACAGAGGTTTTCAGAATTTTCTGTTCACGTTTTCATGAAAAAACACTGTTTTAATGCGACAATATGCGACCGCGGTAAACCTGGATGTAACGATAAACATTAATAATACATTTTAGGATGCATTTTCAGAGGATCTGATTCATGAATTTAGGTTGAGTATATATTTGGGTCACTAACTGCTGAAGTTTCAAATTCTCTGTTCAGTTTTCATGTAGTTCGAGAGAGTTCTAGTTTTGAACGTCCAGTTATAGATAGCTAGCAGGGCTGTTACTCGCCGAGGTTGTCCTCCAGTATGGCTGCCGTGGCTGCTAGTCACGTGACCGTAGGATCCCGCTATACCCGATTTTTATTCTAAGTAGTTCATAAAAATGCTTTTTACTACATACAAGTTGTATCATTGAGGTCATTGATTCCACTGTGTATGAAATTCAGGCAGTGAAAAGTGCTGAGTAGAGCCTTAGCGGGACGTTTGTTCTCCTCCACTCACAGAACGAGCAGCGAACAGCCTGCTATATATATATATATATATATATATTCGAAATGTATTCAATGACTGCAAATAAAATAGTTAGCTCCCAAAGGTTTCACCGGGACGTGCTAGGCAGGTAACAGCTAAGCTAGCTAGCTGTTTCATGGTAACTTCTGGGTTTTTCGCGATCGCTTTTTGTCACTTTAAAACAGTATTTTTGTCATGAAAACGTTGACAGCAAATTCTGAAATCGTCCGTGCATGTGTGTTAAGGATGTATATGTGTACTGTATTGTCAGATTAACGTTTAATGGTGTTGATTGATAGATATGTATTTGTTTATCGAGCGTGGCTAGCTCCGCTAGCTTCTCTACACAGACAAGTGTGCAGAAAAACTGCACAATGTAGTGACAGGTGCTGATAGCTTGTTGTACTTGCAAAGTAATGGCAGTATTTTACACACCTGAATTACAAACAGAGATTGCATTGGGGCTGCAGTCATTATTGGTTTGAGAGTTCTGTTATCAAGAAAAAATGATCGGAAGAATTGCATTCAAGTCAATGGAGTGTTCTACAGCTGCTGTGAGGAGTAGTATAATAAATTATAATTAAATATTAGAATATATTCTAATGTTTAAATTAATACATTCAAACACGAAACTAGCGGTATTCTTTAACTTATATATTGTGTTAGCAGTGCGTTGCTTTAGTACCATTTCATCAGTGATTGTT